AGCTGAAAAGTCCTTGACTTAGGGTGTAAGCAGCTCAGCAACAGCTAAAACATCGGTGTGTTATCACATTACTCTCGTCCCAAATCCAAAACACAGCACTGTACCAGCTACTAGGAAGAAAATTAACTCTATCCCAGCCAAAACCAGGACAGCTCACTAAAAACAGAACCAAATATGTATTACACAGACACTAAAACGTTTCAAAAAGAATGACAATTAAAACCTAAGAGCAAGGAACTCTCTCACATGCACAGAGCATTGCAGAATTTTCTGGCAATTAACTGATTTGTCCTAACATAAGAAATTCTATGAAAATCCCCTTTCTATCCTCCCCCACAGCAAGAAAAATAAGCATACACACACTTCCACAGGCGTCTCAAAAAATGTAAATCTGTAATTAAATTGCTTGGCTAAACTTATGATTTTGTATCTCTGGTAAAAAGAAATTGAATTAGAAGGAACACTTCCTTCACTAGGAAATATAAAACCACTATAAACTTGATTTAAGATGAGATGACATCTTGATATGGAAATACATTTCCATCAAACATTTCAGTTAAAACTGCATAATCTGACGGAAAGCAAACATCTCAATAACGTGTTCTAAGCATTTTTAAATGCTCCATTTCTCTTGCTGCTCATAGCATTATTTTACGAAGTGTAAAGTCAACCACAACCTATTCGGCTTTCAAAGGCTATCATTTCTCCATCCCAGTTACCCAATCCAGAGCAACTATGACCATTATCCTCAATCTGCAGATGAAAACGCTCAGAAAAAGTTATTTGCGGCGTTCCCATGGCGATGCCCCGGTAGAGGAAAGAACAAGCCCCAGCCGCTCCCTGACCTCCGCGTTCAGCGTCGGCAGCATCTCATTTGCAGATGCAAGGGAACCATCAGCAGACCGAGCCTACGCACCAGCGCACAACCCGTGCCCTTTACGCTGCCTACCAGCCCCAGTGGCTGCAAATACGTTTGCAACTTTATTTCAAGGACCCGCAGGGTACAAGGGCCACGTTTAAGTTTCCTTGAAATATCCCCATACAAAGGAGCAGAAAAAGCAATGCTTAAGGGTTTGGGGAAGTAGCCAGGTTGTAGATGGGTTAGGAGGGCCAGCCCTGGCTGCCCCTTGGGATGCATCCCGCACCACATGCCACAGCAATTCCCACTGTGCTCGCACTCTAGAGAACTCCACGGCGAGACCGGACATCCGTGAGTTTGTCCAAACACATACGAGTTTGAGGGAGGACAGCAATGCCATAGACATATTCTATGTCTATAGAATATGACATAGTTACTTTACGCATTTTTTCTCTTATATCTTTTAATAAACCTCCCTATCAGTGAGGCACCTCGCAAGCAGTACCAGTGATTTTGAAATTAACACAGATTCTGGAAGTGCCACTGTATAAAATACATCTTTTTCTTCCATATTTTATAACTCGTGCCTTCACCAGCATAGGCAGAACACCTGTGTACTCAGATGAAAAAATATATTTCCTTAGGAATGACTCTGAAATGTAGTCCAACATTATTATTCAATTATACCCTAAGAAAAATTCAAGTTTTGTAACAGTGAACAAAATTAAACTTCCAGGTTGGGGGTGGGGAGGAAAATAAAATCTGTAAGCTAAGCTCCCTCCTCCCCCGTAACTAACACAAATTTTCCAAGACTTCATCTAGGCATAAGATTCTGCCCTTTTCTTTTTCTTTTTCCTCCGAGCTAACGAGGCCAAAAATCTCTGGCCACAAGAAAAGCTCTTCCTTTTAAATAATGCAACAGGGAAACTGCAACCGACACACCACATACACTGGCAGAGACAGCATCAGTAATAACCCACGTACAGAACCAGGTCCTTGTCCCTGCTGCATGGCAGCCACAGTGACAGATTTTGGAGGAAAGAGAGATACAAATGAGTGTGACAAACTTGACATTCAAAAAGACAGAAGTGGGTTCGTTTTAGTTTTTTAACAGACTAGCTGATGATTTGTGATTATTAGCAAACAATCCACCTAGAATTAAGGTATGAGGCAAACCTACACCAACAACATGCTGGCAAGCACCATCAAAACCGTTCACGTTCCCCCTCTCCAGAATGCTGACAAGTCCTTCAGAAGGAAGGCTACGCTCCCAAATTTTTCTTCTAGACTAATACACCTTGCAAGCACCTACGCTTTCCCATTTGCACCATGCTTATGAATAATAAAGGTTTTCAGCTATATGATTAACTTCGTTTGCCACATTCTGTACCCTGGGAGGCTACACACACCAAACATTGTTCAAAAAGAAAAGCTGAAAGCCTGCGTGTGTAAACGTATACACAAGACTCTCAACTAGGGACAACAGAAATACTAGAGAAAGGTGACTAAAAACCAACAAGCTGTTTCCAATAACAAGAAGGAGCATCATTCTGGCACAAACCTGTGCAGAGAGCTTTCTTTCTCAACTGTCTTTGTCAAAACATCATCTTTTAGAGCCACTGGAATTGCTATTACTCCATGCCCCGCTCCCATTAGTATAAACGCTATCGCAGAATGAATTGCGACCCACATTTTCTACAATTTACATTTCAATTCGAATGACCCAAGACAAAAACTTCTACACGAAAAGAGCCAATGCCAGCAACTCCCCAAAAGACACAATTAATTCTGTCACAGTACTTAATATGTTAAAAATAGATACTTGACTTTAATTTTCAGACAAAAGAAGGAGGGGTGTGTGTGAAGGACTCCAACTTTGAAAAATACACACGTGAACTGATCCATATTTGATTCAGCGCTCAGCTTGCCACTTGCAGTTGTTAAACTCGTGAGTACAGTTTTTGTTAGCACGTTTAGATGTTACAAATGATTGATTAGAGGGACAAGAACAGTTAGCTTGCAACAGGCATATACTAACTGGAGTTTTACGGTAATTTCTCAAGGTTGATTGCTTCTATTATTAAATGATTCCCACAAACATGGCAAAGGTACTGTAAGACAATGCTACTAAAAACTAAAACTATACTGTGGGTATTGCCGTGTAACTTCCAGCCTTGCTGCCCAGAAGGAATACAGGCAAGGGATCGTAGACCTATTTGGATTGTTCTTCAACTTTACCTTGGCCCACCAGACACCTGAATTTTAAAAACTTCTGTTTCACGTCAATTAATCCAACCATGATGCGTTAACAGGACATATGCAGACTAGCACATTCAGAGTAACCGGATTCTTTGTGTCCCCTGTCCTTAACAAGATTTCTCAGACAGGAGTAAGCTAGTTATTTCTCAGGACCCTGTTTGGCAGGAAAGAACATGCACTGGTTTTTTGTTTGGAAGTCTTCACACACAGTAAGATAACATTTTGTTTAACATGGTACCAAAACACCTATCTAATTTTAAGCGATTTTGAAACATGTCAATAAGATGATACACGATCTGACTCTTTGAGACAAGTAACATGCACACACACAAGCAATAGACTCCTACTATACTAGTAGTCAGCTTCCACATTTGCCTTCAAGTCTGTTTGAAAGCTCACTTTCAACATGTAATAGGACTTCATTATTTAAACAACAGGTTCCAGAGCCAGGGAATTTATATTCTGTAACTTACATGGCATGTTCTCAAATAATAAACCATAAGCATCAAGTAAGCTGGTATGTTTAAGAATAAATAAGAGATTTAACTACCTCATTAGTGTTCCAGCGGTGCCTCTCTTTCGGTAAACTTGAACATTTTGGTAGACATTCAAGCAGCTTCTTCGGTAAAAAGATTTTTACATGACTGCCATTGCTGTTCCCATGATCATCTAGAAAGAAGAGGAGACACGTGATGTATACACAGGAGAATAGGTGGTTTCCACTAGGAGACCCTAGCTGCGACAAGACTTGGAAACCCACCAGTTCACTTGTCAAAGAGCAGGCAATTTGTCATCGCAAAGAAGTACCCGGCTTTCTGTTGAAATTGCACCTTTATTTCAGAAATATAAATTCAGCGTAATTCCTTGTGGTTGCAAAGTTTGAGAAGAGCTTTGATGATTTGTGCACGAGGACCCTGTGTGTGTGCTTACTTGTGTCTATTTTAGCTTATTATTTCCCTCAGTGACAAATTTTACAAGCAATAGCGACAAAACGTTATAGAAGCTGTGACCACAGCGGTATGACCTGCCAGGAAAGTCGTAAAGGAAGTTCACACTTGACAGGATTTGCAAGTAAATAAGCACAGAGCCCCAGTACCTGCTATAATTTTGTCAAGCTGCAGCAGAAATGCAACTCCAGGTCTGTTAGTTCATTTAAAACTAAAATGCGCTGTACCTGATTAAAAACAGGTTACTGTTCTTTCCATGGACAGCTCAAAAAGTGAATGTAGTTCCTCAACAGGAGAGTGAGGTAGAGGGATGGAAATCTTCCTACCTCACCATACCTGGGGGTCTCAAAAGCAGAAATACTGAAGAATAGACAATTATTCTTTTTTGTTGCTGAACATGTAGAAGGTGCACTGATCCCCCTTAAAAAACAAAGAGATCCAAAAACCCCCAAAGCCCAACAACAGCCCGCAGAAGTCCCAGAAGCATTAACTTGATTATGTCTGTCTATCACCCCTCTAACACCACCTAAAGAATCAGAGCGTCCACGAACTGTGCATGTTTAGAGACCAAATCAGTCCCCGCAGAAAAGGGAACCGGAGCAGCAGGATAAGACAGCCCAGCTACAGCACAGGAGTTTTACTAGTTCTCCTTCTAAAACCCCCCATTTCTGCCTTCTTCCACTATTCTCGCGCTTTGCATGACAGATACTGGGCAGCGGTATACAAGAAGTACACTTATTCCCTGGCATTTTACCCTACAAAATTAATTTATAGTCATTTCCCATTTGGAAGTGTACGGAAAAAGGATATTAACTTTTTCCTCTTACACATCTGATCATTTTATGTCATTAAACAGATGCCAGCATCATGATAAAACTCCTCTGTAATTACGTACAGTACAGAAATTTCCCGTGACCCGCAGCAAACCAGAGCGAACCCGTCCCGCAATCATTTTAGAAAGCGGGCGAAGAGCGCAAACCAGCAGCTAGACAGCCCTAGTATTTTTAAAGCTTGATTATACTCTTGGATGTGTCAAGTTCAACAATATACATGCTGTTAAATCAACTACTCGTGCAAGCACAGCAGATGAGTTTACAAGATAAGCAGCGATGTGTATGATAAACGTGAGCTGCTCTATAATTTATGAGTCCTGTGCGCTCCCTGAGCTATTGGGACTTTACTGTACAACTGTGTTAAGACTAAATCAACAGGGTTGCCAGTTTTGTACTTCTTCCTGGGCGAACGAGCAGTCGGACAGTATTGATCTTTGCTGAACTGATAAAGAAATCGGGAAGAAGGTTCTCTTGATTATTTTTTTGTATACCGTTCCAGGATTTCTAGCTTGACATTGAATATCTCAGACCTTTACTCCACAGGGCTTTTTGGCCACATCTTTTTCCCAGTCAATGTTCTGCATGTGTGACCGTCACCTTTGTTATTTCCCACCACCCCTGGCCGCTCAAAGCTTCGCAAACACGCACATCGTGACACTTGGGGTTATCCACAAAGACACCTACTTGCTTGGGGCAAAGAACAGGGCCGGGCAGGGCCCTGCCGCAACGGCAGCCCCCAGCCATTCCCACCTGTACTTTCAGATCCGCCATCCGATATAGCTAGTACCTACTTAACATTCCCTACATTAATTTTATACCGTTTTCATTTCTCATTCAAAATATTGCATTGCACTACATTCAATTCATTAGGGCGGCAAAGTATTTTACAGCACACATTATTGCTTTTATCAGCCAAACTACATCCCCAGTTACATCTCATCAGCTTATTTTCCATGGGCACATTTTAATTGACATTAATTGTATTCCTTCCCCTTACCTCCATATCAGTCAAGTCCTCTATCATTCATTCCATTATTTTGCAGGGCTGGCAGACCTCTAATTATTCAGCTCGTTTCATTAACTTTCTTCCACTGTCATCAATTATCAGTATTATTAATTCAGAAAGTGCCTATGGATAATAGATCCCTTAAAAATGTTTTGGTAGAAGTCACCAGAACTTGCTAACACTAAACCTTCCAACTCCTGTTGTTAGCATCTCATACCTTTGTGCTATTACAGGAATGGAAGGTCATTTTCATCATCCTGTAATGTGACTACATCTCACGTATGCTTCCCTTTTCTGCGTTTAGCAACAACATTTCTTCATTCCAAAAAATCCCCAACGTGGAAAACAACTGCCACCCGCCTCGATCTGACAGGCTTTTCATCAAAGAATCCTCTAGCCGTGTCATCAGAATGACGCACAATAATCACATTATGGGAAGTGAATCCTAAATTCAGTGACCTCTAAAACAGGTTTGACCTTGGCAAAGGACGAAGTTGGCCAACCAGCTATGAAGATTAAGAACAAGAAAGTGCCTTGCCCCAAACGATGCACACATGCTTGCTTTAAAACTTGCTTCCCCGCCCACTGGAATCATTCATGACTTATTCCCGAACGGAGGAAAGTCTATGCAGATAAAATGAGGAAGGCGGGCAGAGAAGAGGAGGATTGCTCTCCCAGGCGCACTAACAGTGCTGGCAGACCTCGGTCACCCCTGGACCTCCACTCCGTGATTCAGCTTCCTTCATAAAGCCTTTGCCACCAGCAGATCCCCAAGCATCACACAGGATCTGTCATCCCCACCTACAGACCAGCTACCAGGAGTCCACATTCCCCAAAATGAACTATCGCTTTGCTACTTACATTCTTCACAAATAATCACAAACCTTCCAACTAGAATACGTAAATCTTTAGGGATGTGGAGCAAAAAAAGAAGTGGTTGTCCTTCGGTTTGAATCAAATCTGTCATTTCTAGTCAACCTGACGTACCCACTCACCTACCAGAGAGTCTTCTGATAAAGTCAGAGGAATAAGAATCAACACTGCTCAGCATCCACGCCCAACTTACAGAGCAACCAGCACGTTCCACAGGGAATATTTTACATTTATTTAGAACTAAAATTTCCTCTGTCGTTAAAAAAAAAGGAGCTGCAATTTCACAATGCTTATTTGATTTTCTGTGCAAATCCAGGCCAAATTTGTACTTGAACTTTCTTCCTCGTATTATTTTTGCTATGGGTGCGACTTATGACATTGTGATCTGCAAACCCATCCAGTGTCAATAAAAAGTGCTTTTGCAAGCAAAGCTGCACTTGCACAAGGAGGATTTGCCAGTAAAGCTGTATCGACATGGGCTTTTTTTTAGTGCAAAGCTGGCCACAGCTCAAAAATGCTTCCCAAGGCATGCACAGCCAATTCTGAAAAGGACAAGGAAGCTGTATACTGAAGTATAGCAGGCTACAATGTATCTTGTTATAATTCAGCATGAAAATCCAAAATTTAAGTTCCATTAGCAATCTTCAAGATTCCTTATTAGCAAACCAGAAACTCGTGTAAGATTAAGAAAGTACAACTATTATAAAGTTTGTGGAAAGTGCCATATTAATTATACCACATAAACCCTTCACAATTTTCTGGGTTTCTTCATGCTCCTTGCACTTTATCCTCCCAAGGGATGCAACATGGGCCATAAAACTTTAAAGCGCACAACAGCAAATCACACAGTGAGTCTATGCTCTACCCCTGCTCGCCAAACATTCCCCCCTCCCCCTTTTTTTATTTCTTTAACTGGTTCTTATATCTTCTATGATCCAGGAGGTAAATTTAGACCTTCAGACCACTTCACTACCACAGTTTATCAATATAACGTGTAATTGGAGAATACAGAAGTGGCTGAATGGGTGTTGATCAACTGCTGATTTGCAGACAGTTCTATACTGGAAATAAAGAATAAGCCTATAAAATCACAAACGTAAGTTTCATAAACCCATTATGATGAAGTAATAACTTAGGGTTAGCCATCTTCTTAACTGCCTCACAAGAGAGGTAAAAGGTGTTTAAACGTTACGAATAGGCAGTTTCGTATAAAACAAACAGCTAAAATCACAACGTAATTATTAGCTACTCAAATGGAACGGGAGGGCGTCAAGTTAACCATGATGCCACTCACCACACTGCTGCTTAAGCAGCGGAACCGAGTAAATACAGCTCAGAAGTGGCGCCCATACGAACACAGTAAGCTTAGGCTACCTGAAGCCATCCAGTCTTTGGTGTAATGGCAGTATTAACCCATGCACCAGTCCTCCTCGCATGGAAAATAATGACCGTGTGCCTTATTTAAGACGGCTCAGTAGTGACTATGTCAATACCCAAAGCAAAAGTGCCAACTCCATCGTCCTTCCTTTGGAGTTGTGGTTCTTAACCCTATTGGCTTTTCTGAAACCCTTCCCCTTTGCAAACAGCTACTCTTCCAATAACTCACTTTTTGAAAGATGATATACAGAGACAGACAAAAATGAAAGTCAAGATATCTAGATTTAGTCAAAAGAAATTCTTTTTTTTTTTTTTTTTTTTTTAACATATATATATTTCCCACGTATTGACTTGGCTCTGCTAGGTCCTGGGCTGTGGGTGGGGGTATGAAGTCCCCTTGAAGTCCTACATTCTTTCACTTGCTGACCTCTGGACACAGACAAAACCACTAAATTCAATCTGGCAGAATTAAATGCAAAGCATTATCCCTGATCCAAACAGCTGAAGGACTGGCATGCTACTCCTCATAGTTAAACTTCGTTCCTGGCATTTTCAATCAGTAAACAAGTAGCAATATAAGCAAACCCAACAGCTTTTGGTCTGTTTTCTAGAAATATTTGGACGATTACAGTT